CTAATGTTGCCATCAAGATTTTTCTGAAAATTGAACTCACATACGCTTGTCATCACGCACTGGTAGGAACAATTCCTTGGGCATCTTCGTGAAGCTCGCCTGAGTTTTTGTCACATTCCTCCCCTCATATTTGGGTGAATCTCGTGTATTCTCATTTTGCATTCTTTATTAACAAAGCAAAGCCTAAAGTTGTTATCATGTATACCTACCTGCCATATTCTATTATATATAACCATGCATACATAGCTCAAGAACAAATATTCTTGTTTTCACAATCATTCTTGCGTTGACACAGACAGCTCGGACTGATTTACTAGGGAGCTAAATCCAAGGGAATGGTAAATTTTAAGGCCCAAAAAGTGTGAAGGCGACGTGAAAAGTGACCTCTAAAGAGTATAATTTTAATTTTCAAACATTACTTACAATGATGAAGATCCACGGGGTTAGATTCTTCCAACGATTAGAATAAACCCTTTCAAAACAATAATTATAAGCCAAGTTGGTTGGAGGTACTAAACAGGGTTTGGCTTGAATTAGGAAACATGTTGAGTTCACAGTTCAAATTTTGTTCTCCAATCCAACATTTGTTTGGTCAAACGTGCAGTATGGTCCAACCTATCATTATGATCATACAAAATTGTTTTCATAAGCATATTCTGCCCATTAATTGAAAACAATAGTTGCAAATAACTAAGTAATTGAGAGAGAGAGAGAGACTCGGCGGCAACCATGGTATATCGACTAAGGTGGCCAGACGCAGGCGGCAACCACCACGGCGACTAGCTACCAGTGATTGACGGTTTGTGTTGATACATCAGCGATATTTTCGGTGAGTTCTCCGTTTGTCGGTTCACAGAGAGAGAGAGAGAAACCCAAGATTGAGAGCTAGGGTTTTGGAGGATGAAGATGCAGCAGCAGAAGCCAGTGCATGTTGTAGGTCTCAAAATTTTCCATTGATGTTGATTTATCCTTGATAGCTATTGGGTTGTGATTCCTCCCCATTTTTCCCAATCTATTTGCTGAAAATGGGTAAGAAATAAAGAAATAAGAGGAGCAGCTCATCCAAAATCCCTTTTAAAGAATTCTATTCTAGCTTGGTGAAAAAGAAATTGAGCCCTAATAGTTCAAATCAAGCTAATGATAAAAATTAGAATAATATAGACTATATATAAAGGCAATTAAAACTTGAGTTTGACCATGATCGTTTTGATGTTGAAGAGACTTATTGCGATTCCTTTAAAGCTTATAATGCCATGGTGGGTTCTAGTGTTTGCCATGGCTTTTCTTCATAACAAGGCCTGGGCAAAACAACAGTTCCTGAACCAATGAGGATATTGAGACACCAACAAAGGGAAGTATCCCAACCACAAATGTGCGGGACTACAATGAGGCAAAAGGGCATGCTCAAGTTTGAATGTCATGTGTAGAGGGTTTGGTGGATATGGCTTCTATAGACTCTCAAACTGAAACAGAAATGGTCCAAAGCCATAGTTTTAATAAATTAGGTAAGTCTTCTTCCCATAATGTTGTTTTTATGCCCTGACGTGGTTTATTTAAATCTGATATTGCTAAGAAGAAAGTAGTTAAAAGTCTCAAGAGATACTCGGTGGGTTATGAAAACGATCAACTTCAAATTCCATTGAAAATCTCTAAAATTGGGTCTAAGCAATGGGAACATGCTCTTATGGATTATTTTATTGATAGAAAATTATCTTTTTTCCAAGTGAAGACTTTTCCAAGTGAAGACTTGGGCCTACAAGTTGTGGAAGGAAAATCTTGAAGAAGTAGTAGCCTTAGATAATGGCTACTTTGTATTCAAGATTAAAAATGAAGAAGCTTTAACGTCCATTCTTGATGAGGGACCTTATTATATAGCAAATTGAATGTTATTAAGAAATGACACCCTGATATGACCTTTAATAAAAATGTCTTCTCAAGTGTATATAGGTAAAAATTTTCAATGTGCCGCTTGAACTTTGGGCTGAGGAGGGATTGAGTTATATAGTAAGTTTTATTGATAATCCGTTGTACCTTGATGAATCAAAACCATAGCCGGTTAACATTTGTTAGAATTTGTATTAAAATAAAAGCTACTAAGGAGATTTCACCATCCTTTGTTGTAAACTTAGGATATGGAGAACCGTTCGAAATCAAAGTGAAAGTTCCTTGGAAATCCCAAGTGTGTGGAGAATGCAAAATATTTCGTCATGCTACAAGTTTGAGTCCAAGTAAATCGAAATTTGAAGCTCCTAGTAAATTCAAACAAGAGTGAAAGGCCAAAGAAGTAGCCCAAATGAAGGAGGGAGGCAAGCCAAATAAATGGGTTGAAGTGAAAAAGAAAAAGACAAGGACGCCGTTGATGCTCCTATGGTTAACTTTGTTCCTACACCTCTTTTATTTTCATCGAATGCGTTTGATATTCTCAATACTTGTGTAGCCAATGAGGAGGTTTTTTTTGTGCGCATCTTAAGAGTGTGCTTAATGCAAATGAAGATATTCCGAATGTAGAGACTTCAAAGGAGGAGAAAGAAATTGTCGGGATGTGAGTTATATAAATGGGTTAGCCCGTAGACAATCTTCACGTCCCAAATGAGCTCTTCAATCTCTTTCAGATGGAACATTCATTGTTTCATGGATAAACCCATCTTCAAAAGTGGAAAACAAGAAAAAGCTTCTTGAGAGAATTGTCAATCTTAAACTTTATCAAGAGGTTAGTCTCTCTATCAAGTCTAAGAAATCAAGTTGTAGGACTCTTATGAAATTGTAGGCGTGTCCGTTGATTATTGCTTGGCCTAGCTTTTGTTTCTCCTTATATGTTAATCTACTTATTAGATTTTTTGTAGAAGCTAGGCTTGTTTTTTCCTTCTTCGAAGGGTGTGTTGCCTCTGGGCATATAATGAACCTCGCTGTAATATCTATTTTTTTGTATATAACTTATGACTTACTTGCCTGGGATTAAAGCCAAAAAAAAAAAAAAAACCAATAGTTACAGAGAAGTAAAAATTCAGCAGCAAATAAATTCAGAGTCAATTTTCTTGTTCGTTCTCCAAATCCCAGTAAACATTATTTCAAAATTTTGGCAAAGCAAGCATATATTGAAACAAATGAGAGTTTCCCTTCTCCATTTCTTTTAAAACTATTCAGTATCTTTGCTAATTAGCCAAAAAAAAAAAAAAAATTAACACAATTAACACAATCTTTGCTCATTTTCCATTGAATCCGCACATTCCCATTCTTTATTCACTTCAATATTCAAAGCGTTTTTTATTTATTTATTTTTATTTTTAAATATCAATACCACTACAGCTAACTTTACTTATTGTGCTATGATCAGACCCAGTCATGATAGTGCAAACACTGATATACTCTCACTACTACTGAGTTCTAAGAAACTGACAATTGGAGTTTTTTCTTTTTTTTTAAGCAAAGAGGAACATTTTATTGATGAAAATCAAGTTTAAAACAGCTTAATAGGTTGGACAGAAAAGAATGCCAAATCATATGCCAGCACTGCCCAACATCACAAATGGCTGGAGAGAATTAATTCAACTAGCAAAAGAAGAAAAAAAAAAAAAAATGCAAAACAAAGAAAGAAAAGAGCAGCACCAATCCACATCCATACAAAAATAGCAGATACCAAAGAAGACCAAAAAAAAAAAGACACAGAACTCCCCCACCCAAAGACCAAGTAACAGAACATCAGTCCAACAGAAGGAACAGAACACGGCATGTGCAACAGTTTAAATTAAGACAAAGGTTCTAAAATTCTCCTTGGTCAGGATGTAATCTTGAATCATAAATCACAATTCCAATAAAACAGCGGCAATCACCATAAAAGTACCAACAACAATTGGAGATTCGGTAATCATAATGTGTGACATTTGATGTACAATTTTTTTTTTTTGATGCCTAGAAGAACACTCAGTACCCTTACAATCCACCCTTATAAGTCAAATTAGCTTATCCACCTAAATCATTGGACTTCCACTTAAATAGTAAGAGATTCGAAACTTGATCTGGGAAGAAGAGCAACTCCCTTACCAATTAGGATGGGCCCTTGGTGGTTTCAGATGTACATCACTTGTGAGTATAGGCCTAAGGTGTTTGATGAAATGTCTGACCGAATCGCTAGTTATCTCTTGCACTGTTCCGGAAGACAAAACACAACTTGAATACGCACGTGTAAGTTTTGCGTGTTTCGGCCAAGAGAAAAAAAAAAAAAAACTTTAAAATTAGTCATTCATTTAAAAATCTCTTTTACATCACATCACCTATTCTTTTTAAAATGATAGGTTTATTTTGTTAGTTGAAGAGAAGTACAGACTAGTTCAAAGATATTTTGGTTTTTAGTTTTTATTTTGTGATTATCAATTTTTAAGTCACAATATCAAATATATCCATTATGTATAGATCATTCCTAAAAAAAACGCTAGACTTCAAATTTTTTGTTTTTAAAAAAGACAAATAAATTTTGAAATCGACTGCTTATTTTATTTTATTTTTTTGTCATAATGAATGAAAAGTGTGTAGATTTTCAGTTCAGTAAATCTTAAGTATCATATTTCATAACCAGTCTTCAACTGACACCCGTCTGAATAACTCATAATTCTCTCTCAGATTACACTGAAGTTTTACTCAATTTGAACCAAAAGCAATCTCAGGTGGTTCAAACTTTGAGTTCAAGTTTATTGTTCATGTCATGGTCTACCCATTCCACTAGGCTAGGTGTTGTCAATATAATTCTCGACAGATCAAAAGATTGGATTTTGAGCATTGATTTTCAATGCCCTAATAATGTTTGACAGACAGTAACATGTTTTACATATGACTGTCAGAGGTGTTTTCCCTCTCCTAAAGCAATTTAACATTGTAATGCTATTAAACTGTCAATTTCCTAGTGCCACCTAATGAATCTTTGTTTTCTTTCAAGATAGATAATGGAGAAAGATGGTCAATCACTGTCAAAACTTGAAGTACAATCAAAGAAGAAGCAAAGCAACAAAAATCATATTAACTATATAAACACAGCTTCTATTGACACTGTCTTGCACCTCATTGCAATCGATCATCAGCACAAAGATGCCCAAGTCATTTGCAGCTTCTGTCATCTTCCTGATTTGGCATCTTATATCATCTGGTTACTCTCTAAACTGAATTCAATGCTTCCATTTTTCTCTCTTTGGAAACAAAGCTGCCTAAAGTAAGAGAGAATTATCTTTCAACAAATAATTCCACCCAAGGTTTTAAATAATAGTATTGGGAGTTGTGATATGGTCATAGGCTAATATCAAATACTAGTAGAAAAATAGTGTCAGCCAATATATATGTTAATATGGGCATTAGAAATCCAAAATCCCAATACATACCAGTCGATATTTAAAATCCTATTCCATTATCATGTTTGTAAGAACTCAATCCTAATATGTTCTTAAACTTTGCAGGGAATTCAGTGGCAGAAGCATGCACCATTTATGTGAGCAATAAATGCCCCTTCCCGATATGGCCCGCAACTGCCCCAAACAAAGGGCAACCAGTGATAGCCAACGGAGGCTTCTACCTTCCACCAGGCCAAACAAAAACCATCCAAGCCCCCGGGACATGGAGCGGCCGCATTTGGGCTAGAACAGGCTGCAACTTCAACTCCAACTCCAAATCCAACTGGAAGCCCGCCTGTGAAACAGGCGACTGTAACCAACAATTCGAGTGCAAGGGTGAAATAGGCCTTCCTCCTGTCACACTTGTTGAATTCTCCCTCCAGGTGGACAAGAAAAAACCAAGTTTCTATGACGTGAGCTTGGTTGACGGATACAATCTCCCTGTTTCCGTCTCGACAAAGCGCCCGGAGACAAAATGTAGTATCGGAGGGTGCTTGAAAAATTTGAAGAGCGTGTGCCCGGAGGAGCTGCAGGTATTGAATGATCGCCGGGAAGTTGTAGCGTGCAAAAGCGCATGCCTGGCTTTTGACCTTGACAAGTTTTGTTGCAGGAATGAGTTTAGGAGCCCCCAGAAGTGCAAGCCGAGTGTGTACTCGAAGATTTTTAAGGATGCTTGTCCTAATTATTTTAGTTATGCTTTTGATTCGCCGTCACCGCTGGTGAACTGCCCGTCGGATGAGTATGTGGTAACGTTTTGCCCTTCGAAATGGGGCACTGGGCACACAGATGCATGAGAGTTGCAATTCCAATTGCAATGCCCCCTTCCTCTCGAGTAGAAAACACTTCATTATTATATCCTATGATGTGTATCACTGACGAATAATAAGTTTACATATGGCATATGAACTCTACTTTCAATGAACAACTTACCTAGTTATAGATACATGATAGGCAAAATGGTAAAAAAGTATTTGATTGTATTAAATATCATTGTTACACTTTATTTCGTCTTCTTCTTTTGTATTTTATCGTGCACTTCTCAAATGAAAATTATATGTAAGTTTGTCTTTAAAATCAATTCATTGTTATTGTAAAAATGTACGATTTTTACTTAATAATGGGTCATTCATTACACGTCTTATCATAATGGTGATATTATTTATATAAAAAATTAGATTAATTCAATAATACAAGACATTATTTCATCAAATTTGTATTAAAAAAAAGATAACAAATATAATTCTAAATATTTTTTCAATTATCCACAAACAAATGCCTACAAAATAAACTATTCAAATCATAAACATGCACATGATACGCTCTATGGACCCAATTGGACCAGATTGGATTTCTCTCAACCATAACCTCAATTAAGATTATTAATCTAGCATTTTAGATAACATTACCAAAAAATATATATATAAAAACCTTCTATATCCATTGTTAGTTGGGCTTTAATCTTACGCTGGATTTAGAATTGGAAAGTTTTGTTCTTCTTCAATTTTTAGGCCCAAATACTGCTAGTTAGGCCCAAAGTCAATTTTGGGAAACAAGACTTTAAATAACGCTGAAAACGTATCTGGCTAGCTTAGCCCTAACCTAAGATCAAAAAAAGCTTAGCCGCCGCTCGGTTTAGGGTTTCTGTTCTATATATAGAGAGTGAAAGCAGAGTTTTTGGATCCATCAGCCTATGCGAGCCGATGATAAGGATTCTCTTTTTTGATTTCTTCTCTTTTTCAATCTCTTCTCTCTCTTGATCTTTGATTCTCTCTATGTATAATCTTTGTTTATGTATTTATTTTTGGTTTGAATTTTTTTCAATTTCCTTGGATTGAAGTGAAATCAAATGATGAGAAAAAAACTGCAACAATATGATGGACAAGTTCCGTGATTCTTAGTATTTAAGTCTCTGATGATTTCTTTGCATATATATTTTATGACATTTGTTTTCTCTTCTATTTGCTTATTCTTGGGTTTATTTTCCCAGTTGTTTTAAAACAGGTTTTTGAATATGAATGAATTAACTGAGAGATGTGATGAGTTTATCTATTGGTCCGTGTTTCTGATTTAACCGTGACCGACAAACCTTAACCAAACTCTGATCTCTTTTGATTTTGAAAAACAAAATAATATTTCATTATTGGATTTTATTCTTGTTGGATTTTCTGGGTTGTTTTGTAATTATTTCTTGAAAATAGCTTGAAAGCAATGTAGTTGTTTACCTGCCAAGTTTTTTTCACTAGCTCTGTAATTTTTTTTCCTTTTATTTTCTCTTGCTATGATGAATCATGAAAAAATTCACATGTCAGACTTCAGAGATTTTATGTAAAATCTATGAGAATAAATATTCATGTTTTCTGAGCAGTTTTTCCAATATGTTTTCTTCTCTATTTTTTGTTTTGCGTTTTTGTGCTTATAATGAATTGTTTCTGGTATCAATCAACCAAAAAAATGATCATGTGTGTTTTTCGGTTTAATTACTTATATGATGTCAATGCATTCAATGGCACAACCTATTGAATCCACTATGGAGTTTTATAATTGAGAGAAATTACATTATTTAAAATTTAAAAAAAAAAAACGGTGTTTTAAACAAATATTCAATTTTTAGAAAATTTGCATAATGACAAACTTGTATAGAAAATTGGCAGAAATGGAGGGTAAGAAAACTGATAAATTGAACACCTATTGAAATTTTGATTTTTTGATTGTTTTGTTTTGTATACATTCTTTATACCCTTATGGACAGAATTGATCGAAATATTATTTTTAAATGTTTTTATGTTTTAATTTTTGAGCATGAGACAGTAAGTAATTAACAATACATGTTTTGGAATAAAAATTAGGAAAGTTTCGTCGAACAGGTTTTACTATTCTTTATTTATTTTAGGGTACCGTGCACTGGTACTCTTGCGGTTTTGGTCTAAATATATTTTCATTCATGTTGTTAGTACTTTATTTCACAAACTATCTACTGATATAAAAAGAGAAAATTACATTGAAAAATTTATATAATAAAGTATGATGATTTTTGAATTTGTCCTACATATATTTGTCTTATTTGAACATTTGGATGGTTGAGATTTATTTAAATTATAAAATAATGGCTGAAATATATTTTTAAAAAAATATCTTACATATATATTTTCTATTTTTCTGCTCTTTTACTTTTTTATTTTCTCACCTATCTCTCTATGATTCTATGATATCACTTTTCTCTCTTTTTTATTTTTTTTTATTTTCTTCTATTTTTATTTTTCTCTTAGTTTTTTTATTTTTTTATTTTCTCCTTTTTGTTTATTTATTTTTATTCATATTATATGGAAAAATCTGCGATTACTTTATTTCACAAACTATCTACTGATATAAAAAGAGAAAATTACATTGAAAAATTTATATAATAAAGTATGATGATTTTTGAATTTGTCCTACACATATTTGTTTTATTTGGATATTTGGATGGTTGAGATTTATTCAAATTATAAAATAATGGCTGAGATACATTTTTTAAAAAATATCTTACATGTATATCGCTTCTCTCTCTTACTTTTTTATTTTCTCACCTATCTTTCTATGATTCTATGATATCACTTTTCTCTCTTTTTTATTTTTTTTATTTTCTTCTATTTTTATTTTTCTCTTAGTTTTTTTTATTTTATTTTCTCCTTTTTGTTTATTTATTTTTATTCATATTATATGGAAAAATCTGCGATTCAGAATTAAGGGCCAGATTTTATTGTGTGTAGTAGAGATTAAATTAATGAATTTTATAGTTTATAAATTAAATGAATTTGAACAATTAATTATTATATTTAAATATATTGAATGCCTGATAGATTTCGTAAATTTAGACCTCATATAAAGAAAAGGGAGAGTGCATGAGTTTAATATCTTCATGTCGTCTAAATAATTAAATTGATAGGGAATTAGTGTAATTTCTCGAATGTTATGTAGTAAATCTAAATTTTAGAGGTATAAGTGTAATTTATCTTTATTTTTAATTTGAAATTTTATGAGTTGCATAAATTTTCTTTTGTCATGAGAGATTTACCTTTAACAATAAATTGAAAAAAATGAACTTATTTCTTTAATGGTGAAACTAAACCTAATTGAATACGATTTTAGCCCCTAGATTTGAGAAGCAAATTTTCAGGGTTATGGCTAATATTTGATTTCTCTAATTAACGAAGATGTTTGGTGGGCTTCAGATTTGACATTAGGTTGCCCGAGTTTGGGCTGGGCCTTAACTTATAATATCCATAGCAGTACAGTCTGTTTTAAAAGGGTTATCTGTGCTGATCGTAAAAAAACATTTCATCACATACCAGCTCGGCCGGGTCTAAATTTTCTTTTTTTTTGTGTGGTGAAAGTCAGAATAGAGAAACTATTGAAAGGCCAATAGTAGGACGAAAAAATCAAGCAACACCTCCAATTAGTAGATTATTGAACTATTACGAAGATCATTCAAAAAGTTGTAACGCGATGAAGACATCACCCACCACCAACTTTTCCGAAACCTTGAGATTATAGTGAGTGGGAAGTTGGTTTTTTTAAAGTTTTTTTTGTGGTTTGATTATTTTAGTAGGATATTTTAGTTTGGGTATTTGAAAAGTTGAGATTGATTTTTTAGGAATTATTATATTAAAAAATGTGTTTGAAATGATATAAAATATAAATTGACCAAATTGCCCCTATTGATATTTAATTGCAAATATTTGTTATTGTCCACATGGCCACCATTTATATTACCGCTTATAAAATTAAAGCAGAATTTCCACATGGCTATTCAATGCAGTCTCTCCGACTTTTGGTGCAAACAATTGTTTGGCACCGTTTGGGAAGAAGTTGGTTGGACTTTTTTGGCTATTTTAGCCACAAAAAATAAAATAGATTATTTTAGTCATAACAAACAAAACATCACATTCAACCCATAATCATTACACTCTTCTCTCACAAAAAAAGTCAAAAAAGCCAAAAAGTCCTTCCCAAACCAGACTTTTTAATCCAGGCTAAAATAGCCAAAAAAGCCAAAAAGCCAAAAAGCCAACCCACTTCCCAAACGGAGGCTTTGCAAAATAAATTAAAATGAATTAATTAATGAAGTTGCTGTTAGTTTGCCATATTAAAATTAATTAAATTTTTTATTTAATTGAAAATTGTTTCTATTTCTCCAAAAAATTAAAAACATTTGTTTGGAAACATTTATTTTAATTTTCACATATAAAAATTAATTAAAATTTTGTTTGGTTTAGTGAATTTGTGAAAAAAAAAGTAAATCACTTTCTATCTCCTATACATTAATCAATCACTTTTTCTTACTCATCTCTCATTCTCAATCACTTTTTCTTTTACACACATCTACTGAACTACAATAAAATTATTTTCATGACTCCTGTACTCCAAAATTAGCTCGAAAATATACAACCAAACAAATCAACTAAATTTGGTAACTCTTTCACCATACTCTTTCCCCATAATTAATTTTCATCATTTATCTCTCAAAACAAAACCAAACAAGTCCTAAGTTTTTATTCGAATATTTTTTTGTTTCAAAATATTTGTATCTTCTTAAATATTAATGAAAAAAATACTACGGATTTTCTATTTTGATTTATCTTTGAAATTCATTACTACTACGAAATATACAATGACGACAATTGCTATTTAAAAAAAAAAAAATCAGGAAGGGGAAATGGTGAATTTCAGATAATTTAGTTAAGTAAGAAAAGAAAATTTTACAAAAATAGACAATTGTAGTTACCAAATTCGGCTTTTACTTATACAAATAGTTAATAAAAATAAAACAAAAAATTACACAAGCAATCTACATTTAAATAGTAAATGATAAGATGTAGTACTTAAAAAAATATAAATTTTGCAACATACTTGCATTATCCTTACACGAATTACAAATTTAAATTTATTACATTCACATTGCAATGCGGAAATAGAAATTACAAATTACACAAACATACAAATTAGATAACAAGCATTTCACAATAGTCCTTGATTCCGTATGTGAACAAATGGTCCCGGATGCGCACGCGAACTCTGGCCTTATCTACATCCGTATCCTCAACCATGAGGCCATCATCCATATTTTGTCCTCCTTCCGCGGCGGGCATGCCATCTGGAACTGAGGAACAACTGACATATTGGTTGTGTGTATTAGTAGTTATCTCGTGCCTACGGATGAAATTGTGTAAGGCCATTGACGCACCAACTAATGGCACCTGCACCGTTGCAAAATCATAGTCAGGCATGTCGTTCAGGAACTTCCAGCGCAATTTCCACACTCCAAATGTTCTTTCCACCATGCTCCTCAATGATGCGTGCGCCTCATTAAACAATTCTCTTGGGTTATCGGGTCATCCACGATCCCGGAACTGTGCTTAGTGATACCGAGACCCTTTGTATGGTGCCAAATGCCCCTTCTTGTTTGGAAATCTCGCATCCACAAGGTAATATTTACCTACATTTGGTCAATCAATTTAAGATTTTTAACAAAATTAATAATGAGTACTTAATTTCAAATGTGTTACCTTCTTGGGGGTGCGGGAACGGTGTATATTCGTTCTCAATTATTTCGTTGAAGATGCGACTGTCATGCATGCTTCCTTCCCAACCACAAGATATGAAAATGAAGCACATGTCGAAGTCGCATACTGCTAGTATGTTTTGGGTGGGATATCCTTTGCGGCCGTAATATGTGTCGGCATCATGAGCAGACAACACGACTTCTACATGAGTACCATCAAACGCTCCAATACAATGCTGCACCAATAACGTACATTACATGAGGTTCACATACATCACATAAAATGAAAAGTAACTGGTAACGGCAACTAATATGCTAACCTTGAAAGGCGCGTATTTCGCTTTGGATCGCAAATATGGATGCCTATTATTTTGATCTCTGGTGGGCTTAAAATGCACTTCTGTGAACAACTTCATTGCTTCTAACACTGCATGGAAATGTCGCGACACAATTTCTCCCGAGTGTTGGAATCGTTCCTGAATTTTTCGGTTAGTGCAATCGTCCAACGTATGGATGAACATCGCAACACTTTCTTCAATATGTAATCCATGGGGTCTTGTAGGTACCCGTAAACCGAAGTCACTTCGTAATGTGTCACACAATGCTTGAAACACATACAACGGCATATGCAAATTTTGTTCACCTCTACCTACGTGCCCATCAAATAATTCTTGAATCTAGGCACGACCGGTCAATAAAAGTTCGGCATGGGATCTTCTCCATGTACTTCAGGTAATATTCCATTGCATGCTGCGCAACGTCACCGATTACGCTGTTTTGTAGGTCTTCTTCTTCCTCAGCCTGTTTGATGATTACATCATCGTAATTTC